ACTGCACTCGGACATGATTCGACAACCGGTCATGTAGGGTTCTTGAAATAAACCACCAGGAAATCGATGCTCATAACTGAACAGAAAACAATCTAATACATCTGTCGATGTCAACAGCCTTAACGCCGTTCTCATTCACCCAGCAAATGAGCCAGATACCCTCAATTCCATGCAATAAATCAAACAGACATTCAGTCAATACTGTGTTTTAACAGACTTATTTTACGGATTCGCAATTTTCAATGCCAATCCCCAGAAAAATTTACGTTTGTAGAGTTACATTACATCAAGATCTTATCAAGTGTGTTTCCTCCTCTTCCACCCGGTCCCGTTATAAGTGTATATTTGCTCGTACGACCGCTTATCGGTCTTCTGTGGTGCCCTATCTTGCCCGATTTCTTGTCAGCGCAGAAAGCATTGCTTCGGACCTCTACTCAGTTATCTCGTAAATTGTATTCATTTTCACTGCTCACGATAATTATGTAATAATTTTGTTCGATCATTGTTAGATGACTATGTGACTGCTGAATATCCACCTTTCGGGGTGCATAAAGCAAATACTTGACTTGACTTGACTTGTTATTTCTAAGAATTCCAGATCGGTTAGAGAAACAAGCGTGCTGTAGATCAGATGTCTAATTTCAATGATTGAATCACATTGAATTGGCGAATTGGTGAAAAGATTCAGTGCGCAAAGCAAAGCGTTTGGCATAAAACAACAATCGTAACAATTCGATACACCACAGCTTCCTGGAATTTCATTTGATTATATGATACATTCCATCATGTAAAGACCAAACGTGACGTGAGTTAAAAGCTAGAAAGCACTGCATGGTTGTTTCAATCTGTTTGGTCCTCATCAATAGAGCAAATGCATCGGCCTAATAGTTTCTCGAACCCGAGACATCAGAGGAAACCAGTGCATAGATGCAAACTGAAAAATAAAACGGTTGACCTGCTGCACGGTGGACAGATGAGCAGTATGCTTTATTGCAAAACTATACAAATCACTCTACTCCTTCATTACTATCATTAAGCAGGAATTAAACAAATTATAGATTGTCATTTTGCAAATCATGTAAGAAAACGATAGATGACGCTAAAAGTTGTTCCAATGCTAATAAATTACATAATAATTGATATGTTGAGATCTTCGGGTCAAATCATAACTGGGATTGGACAGAATCTTGGTTTTTGGCGACTAACATTCAAAATTCTAGCAAATATCTTTGTTATTACGTTCTCTCCCCCCGAATCGTGACAGGTCACTTGTTACAAAGGAAGCTTTCACGTTGCGCTGCGTCGTGAATTTGTGGTTTATGCGTTGAATGATTCTCGAGGCCGAATGCTCTATGACGCACTTGTCCGGCATGAAAATAGTTCCGATGGACTCACAGTCCCAGACGAAATATTCTTCGCCACATTGAATCACAACCCAGAAGCGTTCCCGATCCCCGGTGCTTTTACCGGTGTACACGAGGAAGATGTGGCCATCCCGTTGGCCAGAGCAAAGATTTGGTCTGATTCGAATCTTCCATGTGGTAGCGAATACTGGCAACGTTCAATTTGTATGCTTGGATTGGATGATTTACCGTTTTTAGTCACCCAACCACACTTTTTTGCTAACAAATTTATACCAAAAGTTGCCCCGCTGGCTTACGATATGTTGGAGTTGTGGTACGCATCAAAAGTTCGAAATGAGGACCACTTTGATCGATTGTCCGATTCATTCAACAGTACTTATTACACCCTGTCTCCGTATGCCACACAACATTTGTGACTAGTCACTGCAAATTGTGGCTATCATAGAGATAGTTCCGAGTCGATTCGCCTCACTCAGTTAGATCCACCTCTGTGCATGCGACGATACTGAGATAGCTCTTCATTTCATCCGGTTTAATACCCACATCTTTCCCCNTGTATTATGCAATGATTGTATAAATTAATCCTTTGTCTGTCACTAATCATTATTCTATTGTTCTTTCTGACGTGAGAAAATCGCGTCTCGCTGATTGGATCAGTATCTACACAGAAATTCATCCAGGGAACAACTAGAGAGATTGCGAATGGGATATAGGCAAATCAGAAATGGAAAATGGAGGACTATATCTGGGTAGCCACGGTTAATCTGTCCCGAGGAGGAAGGTAGAAAGAGGACACCGTGATTGGTACAATACCAAATCTTATCGGTTTCAATAGATAAAAGGCAAGATTTTCAGTTTAGATCGTTTATGTGTGTGTGTGAGAATGATGCATAACAAAACACTTTTTGACCGCAGATTATTTCGATACTTTTTTATCTGACTCGCTTAGAGCGGTATGAATNGTGCGAATGGCTTAATCAATTACGATGGTGAACGTTTGGATTAGCCCATTCGGTTTTTTCACAGGTACCGGGCACTGTTGATGATTGTGGTTGTGAATTTCACTCCTTGGGAGATTGTTAATTAATCACGGTTAGGGTCCTGACATGGACACAAAAGTGCGCACTGCCGACGAGTCCCAAATGGGACGAAACAGCTGTCCAGTGCTCCTAGTTGGTTATCGCAAACATTTCCATCGCATTTAAATCCACAGTTCTTTAATCGCTACACGGAAACGCTGTAGATGTCGGAGATGTGTCAAACAGTTCCACAATAAAGGCGCATCGTTTAAACCCTTTCCAATCAACTTGTGGTATAGCACGCAAACGCTACATCTCATTTATTAACCAAGTATTGCAATATCAACATTAGCAGAAAGTGCAACGTTTAAACATTTTTTAACCTCAAAATATTTTCATATTTTTGATCTAACTCGCTTGAAGCCATAGGAATCAAGTTTTTACTTCCAAATTATTGAAATATTGATCGTTCCTAAATTATTTGGGGTTTTGGCTAAAGGAATCTGGGTCAAAGCGTTTACTGTGCCTTTGCACGATCAGCTCAGCTGTACGGTTGTGAGACCTTGAATTTGCCGGTAGAAGACATCCATTCTCTAGCGGTTTTTCGACAATCGATGCTTACGTAGTTTGGCCCAGGTAAGGTGGAGTAAACGGATAAGTATCCTGGACGTAATTCGTCGGATGTTTGCCAATGCATCGAACATGAACTCGCAAGTGCCTCGAATTCAGCTCAATAGTCTTCGTTGGATAGGACACGTTTTGCATATGTCTAACGGGGCATGAAGAAATGCACATATTCTATTAGGTAGAGTAGATGTCTCTCTCTCCTCCCGGTTTAGGGTGCAAAAGAATCCATAACTGGATGGTTCGTGACACTGAAGGACATGCAGACAAACTGACAGCAGTGGCGATCCTGCTGTCACTTCTTATCGCACCAGAATACTCGAAATAGTGTATGTGTGCAGAGATGGACTGTGTACTCTGTGTGCTGACCATAGAGGTTCGCTTTCTTTCCCTCGTTCCTAGAAAATGACCCAATTGCTATTCTTCCTACACATTCTCACTTAACTTGTATGCATTATGAGTTTGGCAACTGTGATAATCAAAATAGTATGGAATATCGGAATACGAGAACCTGTACTGTAATGCTCAGAACTAGGTCGACTCCAACCCGAACTGCGGACACCAATGAAATACACGAGGAATTGGTAGCAGCAAATGCCTCTCTTTATTGATAGAAATAGAGCGTATTTGATAGAAAGTAATGGGCCATATCATTGTTTAAAGGGTCGTCGTCCGATCACGTCACCGTTTGCGAAGACGCATCACATGTACTACTCGGATGTAAGGTAAGCCCGGTGTACGATTGGCCGAGTTTCCTGATTGGATAACATGAAGCTGTATCTGGTCGCACTTGTAATACGGTCACGTATGTCTCGATCACCACGGCAACGTTCAGTAGAATTAGCTTCACTGCACTACGCTGTACAAGACCGGTGCTGCTGCTGCTGATTATGATGTTGATAATGATGATGACGAAGAAGATGAATGCTGAAGGATTGTCAGTTTTGGCTAAAGCCTAATAGGAAAACGTATTCCACCGATATATCAATCCGTCGGTGGAAGGCACATTGTGATCGCAATCGTCCCTATAATATAATAGAAAATATGACTCCATAATAATCATAATAATGATTATGCTTATACGATCGTAAAGTCTGTTCGTGCTTCTGAACTAGATTGTAATATTGCTGTTCCCAAGATTATACATTCATGACGAACATGTTCAGTCTACATGTTATATACCCTTGAAGAAGACTAGCTCACATCAAACCAGGAGATTTATCTGATCTGCACACGTATAGGTATTTGGTGTATTTGCTGACTTTCGATTAGTCATCGCACTTGTGACAGATATAATTATGGGGGCGCGACAACCCAGTTATCAGCCTGTAAGTCGTTAGAAAACCTCCGATGTCTTTGATGTATGTTGCACAAAACGGAGACATGCTCTGGGAGTAAATTAATTAAATACTGCTCTGCAAATAAATTTGACCATGGCGCCATTTATGCATCAACTTTTGCGTGATTCTCATTCTAATAAAATTCACATGAACCGATATCCAAAAATAAAATGTGATTTCACGAACGGACTGAAAATTACTAGCAAACAATGCA